ATACAACAGGCAAGAGCATGCGAAATGGGATTTACAGCTCAGGGTGGTGTGTTTAAACAAACTCCCAGCAAATCCCCTTAGTACCATTTATAAAGAAAGAAACATATATATATATCTATCTATATCTATCTTTATGTATATATCTCTTTCCATTACAGCCTTGGTAAGAGGCTGTGCGTAATAATAACAGGCTAACAAAGGCAATCATTCCTTCTCCATATGAAATTTTATCCATAATCTTTGACAAATTGCATTTCTGGATTGCTGTATTTTAGTGAAGCTGCAGTTTTTCACAAGCAGTGAAGGCTCAGGTGCACAAATATTAGAGATCCCTCCATTACCATTTTTGAGATGCTTCTTTTGTCCCATTTTTACAGCTTTCTGAAAAAAAATCCCTTTGGCAGGAGATTGCATGGTGAGAGAATGATAACTGTGTTCCTTTTAAAATAAGCAAACGTCAGCCCTCCAGACAGTGCCCCAGACAGCGTTTAAGTGACATTTGAAATGGCAGTGGACATGATCTTCAGTGAGTGCACAGCACCGTTATTTGCCTTCATGTAAACTCGTTGTGACTTCCTTACCCTGCCCTGGCGCTGCCTACCTGGTTGCTCTTTGGAGGGACATACTTGTGCATAAAACAAAGTGGCATCTTTAAAATTCAGTCTTATTTACTCTTGATTTCTCTAAGTTCCGTGTCTTGTTAGGAATTGCTTATTAAAATTCTTGAGGTTTTCTTTTCCACATGCGAGCAGGGTAGCCCCTGTCTCGAGGCTGCCGGGGAAGGGCTCACTGTGGAGGGGAGGAAGAGCCACCCAACCTGCGGGACCTGCAGGCTGGGCAGCCGGGTGGGCTGGGAAGGGTTAATTGATTCCCCACACAGTGCAAGAAGGCTGTGCTGGGCAGGGAGGGTTCAGTGTTCCTATCCGTGAGGTTTGGGAGGAGGAGGGATGGGGAATGGGGGCTTCTTTTCCTGTCTGCTCACCGGCTGAACTATTCTGCTTTGCCCTAGAAATTGCCCTTCTGTCTGACACTGGTCTCATAGCTAAATGCAAAAACCGATGAAGAATGGTCCAAGAACAGAGCAGACAAAGGGATGGACCAGCTCGAAGGCAGCCACCCTTCCCACCCGAGGGCCTGATGTCCTTTTGTGCTATCTCTCCTCTCGCTTGAGGAGGTGGTATTTGGCTCTGCGGGTTATTAACTTGTCCTCTCCTTTCTCTGCCCATTACACTGACATAAAACTATTGGTAGGGATCAACTCTCTCTGAAGTAGCTTATACTGCTGCGTTGTCGCTTTGATGTCCCCCGTGCCTGGCAGTAGAATTTAGCATCTATCGCTATCCTGGCGACATACGGGGATGTATATCCATACGGGACGGCCGCTGAATCCTGGGTTTGGAAATGGAGGGGGGGAATCGTTTCTGCTTGGAGGGCATGTTCTGCCACCGAGTTAGGCAGCCTTCTCTCTTTACCAGCTCTTTGCCAGCTCAGAAATTTAGCTAGACTTGTCTTAGCCTTTCTTTCCTTTAGTTTCTGACAGGAGAATAATCTGTACCCCTCCTTGTAAATAATAGTTATCAAACAAATCATCTGATTGCTATTTACTGACTTTAATGCAGAGTGGCAGTGTCTCAGCATGTTGCAGGTCGCTGCTCATGCACTCACTCTCTTTCAGGGTCCCAATCCACAGCACTTCCTACGTCCTGGGAATTCCCTTGCAGCAGTGGGATGCTCCGAAGGGGAAGGATGCTGTGGGAGGTGGTGTTCAGGAAAGGTGGCCTCAGAAGCTGCGCGAAGCTAGATGGCGCAAATTTTAAATGCATCATTCATCATTATGTCCTGAGTGTTAACTGAAAACTATCAAGCTTAAGAAAAATGAATAATATAATGTATGGTACAGCCTAGAGAAAATAGTACATTTAACATTCAATAAATTATCTTTCTTTTTTTTTTCAGAGAAAAACCAGCAGTTGGATAAGCCTACTCCAACTGTAGACTTAATTGAGAGCTACTTAACACAATCTAGCAAACCTCATGAAATAGAAATGTTGTAGTGCTTGGGACTAAAAATTGCGTGTTGGAGAGAAGCCTGGTTGTACTTAATCCTTATATTTATTTTATTCTGTAGGTACCTGCACCGCTTCCAAAACTTGTGTTGAGTTTATAAAGCTATGAAGAAAATCCCTTGATACTGAAATTCTAAAAACTCTCCAGATACTTGTACGTCAATCATCTGTTTTAAACCGGACAGTGTAAACAGCAAAGGGAGCTGAACTACAAAAATGTAAGAAAACAGATTGTTCAGAAAAGCGTTATATTTGTACTGAAGTAATATGACATTTTAAATCAAAGGTTATGGATTTTGATATCAGCATATGATTATATTATACAAGTAATTTTAACAAATTCCAATCCTACCAGACAGAAATACCAATAGTGGGGTTACATTGATGAGCTACATTTTTACTTTAGCATTTCATGCTTAAAACACGTGTCCATTCTGAGTTCTACTTAAATACTTAAAGTCTTAAAATATTTTGTTTAGTTGGAAGAACTGCAAATAACAGTTGAGGTAACTGTCTGCAGTCTAAGGCATTACTGAACTCTCGCTGGAAATCTGCAGGAACGTGCTGTGCTGGCATCTCTGAAACGCCTTAAGGGAAAGGCCTGAAGGTGCAGCCCTGCCGTCCTGGGGGAGCACGGGAGTCGGGGAGCTGCTGGGGTGTGGTTGTGCGCGGTACCCGGTGCACTGCTGGGGACTGGGAACGGTGACGACGAGTGCGTTCGGAAGTGGCTTGGATCCATTTCATCGCTGTTTACTCAGGCCGTGCTTTTGCACGTGGTGTGTATGTGTCTGGAATTTCAGTTCCATTTCCCATTAACTAGACTTTCTTAATCATGTTTTTTTTAATTGAAAAGCTAACTGTACAGGACAGGTACACGTGTAAATAAGGGATTATGCTTATGTACATGTTAATATTTATATGTAAAAAGATATGTACATAGGAAAGAAAAAAATGGCTCCAAGAATGTTTTCAAAACTGTTTTTCTTACAAATGCACAGACAGGAAAGTTACATTAATGTGCTCCTTAATTTCAGCATAAGGGTCTCCACTCAATTTTCAGTCACTTTGCATTTGATCCCACTGGCGTTTTGTACAATGAGTTTGTACGATGAGTCCTTGACTGTGGCATGGAGCCGTTCTGGAGACAGTGCCACCCTTCATCTGTGAGACGAGCTGTGTCAGATCTCATTTGCTGTCTTCTCACCTCTGGGTCGTGCGCATCTTTTAAAAACACAGTCTCAAAGCCACAGGACCGTGGCAGGGGTGGGCATCACCCTGATCTGGGGCTTTTTCCTGCAGCCCCTCCGTCCCTCAGTGCAGGTGTAACACAGCAGCGGAAAGGTGGGGTTTGCAGCCCGGGGAGGTACCCCAGCCGTTCTCAGGCTGGCGAGCGCCGGCTCCTCGGGCCAGCAGCCCTAAGTGAGGGGCTGCCAACCACTCCAGTTTCTTACCCGTAAGCATCTTTTATAAATTCTCCAGATGTCCTTCAAATAACGACACGACAGGGGCCAGATAAACCAAGTGCATCACGAGGTGCGTTACAGATGCGGCACGATCGCTACGTTTCGCCTGCGAGAAATGTTAGCTCTGTGTGTGTGTCGGCGCATTAGCTCAGACAGGCAGAGTTTCTGAAGGAGCGCCGAAGCGGTCAGGACGCTCCCTGCCCGCGTCCCGCAGCCGTGGTACGGGCCGGCTGCCGCCTGCGCAGAGCAACACGTCTAAACTGAAATCCATTGGAACTGCAGCTTGCCTTGTCGACAGCCGTGCGTTGCGTGTTTCAGGCCTGTACTTCTTGCTTAAGCTGTTGGAGGACTGTGGCTATTCTTTAAAGTATTCTGCTTTAGTAATATCTGTAGCCTTCAGTGTATCCTCGAGTGCCTTACACAGCTTGGGAACAAAACTTCTGACCGTGAAGAGAAAATGGCCCCGGGGGTCCCCCTGGGGGGACCGAGGCCAGCTCCCTTTGCACCCCGAATGCCGCCACCACCTCGCGACGGGCAGCGGGCGTTAGCACAGAAATGGATTTAGTTTAGACTCAGGAAATCGTATTGTGAATATGTGTATCAAACCCTGTACTTATGTATTGTACATTTTATAAAAAGGAACTATTGTAAACTTATGCAAAACGTAAACCAGAGAAAATGTTTTTTCCCAATGGCCAGCGTGCCGTGACTTGTGCGCTCTACTATAACCCTGACGACTGTACCCTAAATACGTAATGTTTGGTTCAGTGCTGAAACAGTAATTGACAGGCCTAAAATAGGGCTGGATTGATCAATTACAGAATTTTACACATATTTTTGTATTGTGATTCATATGATATATATCGAGAGACTTTCTATTCATTTGTAAAATACATAAATTATTGTAAGCTTTTAATAAAAAGATCTGTTTTAAACCTTCGAATGCGGTAAATTGTTTTGCTTCTTTTCCCCGGTTGCAGGAAGGAAGCCTTCGCTCGGTTACAGTAACTTTGCTGACGCTTCTTTTACAACGCGGTAACTTCTTGACCGTTTTTAACTTCCACCTGAAAAACCGATCCCCTACGCTCTTGCAAACCCACAGCGGGGTCGCTTACCTCCCGCTGAGCTCAGTGTTAACTCCCCTCATCCTCTCATCGCCGGTGGGATCAAGCCCACCTAGCTCCTGCCGAGGCGAAGGGGAAGCCGCTGCCTGAAGCGAGGGCCGGGCGAGGCGGTGTGAGCCCCCCCCCGGGGACCGGCCCTCCCGCAGAGGATGGAGCCGGCCCCGCAGCGGGGCCGTGCCACGGGTGGATGGTCACGGCCGGGCGGGGCGGGGGGCGGTCGGTCCCTGGGCTGCTTTTAACGCGCTTTGCTCTTCTCCCCAGGGCGAGCCGGCTGCGGAGCGCGGCGGCCGCGCACCGGCACCGGCACTGGGGGCTGCCCGGGTCGCCCCCCCCGGCCCCCGGAGCCCATGTCGGGGCAGCGGGAGGAGTCGCTGCCCGCCTGCTTCGCGGGGCTGGGGGCGGGCAGCCCGCGGCCGCGGCAGAAGCGCGGAGGCATGTTCTGCAGCGTGGAGGACGCCTTCGACAACAAGACGCTGGACTTCGCCTCGCTCGGCGGCTCCGGCCCCGGGACCCCCCACGGTGGGCACCGCCGCGCCCCCGCCGCCGCCCCCCCGGC